AGGCGTTGCTTGCGGAGTACAATGCATGTGATTATGGGGTATGTAGCTTGTATTTCGTTTTTATATCCGAGTCTAGAATCTGTTTTATTTATGAATATTGTTAAATTTTGCTTTTGTGTTTATAAATTATTTTTATGATTTTACATGTTTTAACAAAAAAATTATTTTTTTTGGGATTTTTACGGTAGGTCACTCCGGTAGCCCTAATGTGACACCTCGGATCCTATCGGGTCACCCGTATCGGTCAATGAATGTTGCATTTAGTGGTATTAGAGCTTAGGTTGAGTCAAATTTTTATAGATAAACCGGTCAGTGGACAGTCAAAAGATGTATGGTCAGTACATGCCCCTAGACTACAACCGTACTTCTTTAAGTCGGAACTCCACAGTTGAGTTTTTCTCTGTAATAAGCTAACTTAAGTTTTCTATGTGTTAGGGCTCAACCTATGCATAAAAGAATATCAATAACATTTGTACAAATTCTATAAAGTACCTCACGAGTAATGTGAGAGTTACTTATCCGAGAAAATCTGACCCGACTCCAGAAATAAAATTGGGAGATGTTACCGATCTATGAACCTAATCTCGTAACCAATGTTGAATTTATTCCACAAGGATAATTCCATTATGATTATTTTATTGGAATGAGGGAGAGTTCTGACGAGAATGTATACTCAGCTGGTTAAGGATTAGTTGAGGACACATACTTCTGTAAATGCTACTCGAAGATATTGTCACACGTACTTGACAAAATCGATCCAAAAACATCAACAATCAGCCAAAAATTTATCAAAATAAAAGAATAGGTCTGAAGCACTTACTCACACCGACGTTCGACGAAAATGAAGACGGTGAACGACAACCTGATCGAATTTTGATCGGAATTAGTTGGGGAACACGATGCTGGGGGCGGTGAGACACTATTGCTGACGGTTTGGTCGGAATTGACGTAAAATTGAGGCGATCAGGGTTAGGTTAATCGTCAAAGCTTTGTGATTGAATTCACGATGATAGACGTCGTTTCGTGGTAGAAATATAAATGGGTATTGGTCGCCAGTCAAATACGGACCGAACGGGGGGTGATGGCACCAAAAACGATGGTCGGACGGTGAAGAATCGGTGATAAAGAGGCTGATGGGCTAGGGTTCAAGGTTGGGAATTTTGTTTCTAATTTGGGAATTTTGGGGGAAAGAATTAACTAGTTTTATTTTTCTTTGTCCAGAAAAAATGGGTAAATTTAGAAAGGGTCCCTGAATTTCTTGCACTTTCTAAAACTATCTATAAGTATCCGAAAATTATAATTTAACCCCTAAATGAGGGTGTGACACATTAAACCAAAGATCCATAGAGACGGGACCTTCCTCAGTTTCTCCTATAAACTCAGGTGCTCATAAACTTTTTAGCACTTTAGCAACATTTATCTTAGGAGATAGGGAAACATACGGTTGGAAACGCGTCAGAATCGCGTCCAACGTCCAGAAGAATATTCCATGATCTTGCACAGGCACTCCCTGAGGTGCATGTTCTTCACCTTGCCTAACTGAGGCATGTGAATTGCAACTACCCTCATTAGCTCCTATTCCCACTTCACATCGGGAGCCCTCGTAGTCTAACATCTATAAAGATATAATTACTGAACTATATTAGCAAGGACAACATACTCATTACCCTATCAGATCAGAGATTTTTAATATTTCGTTGGCATGTATACTTTTTAAAACATAATTTACTTCATTTTGAGCTTAAAATCAGTTAAACCTTAGCTCTATTACCAATAAATGTAACACCCCTGACCCGTACCTGACCCGGACACGAATATGAGGTGTCACATTGACTTTTTAAAGCTTTGACTTTTTAAAAATCTGTTTAAATTTTGAATTTTTATTTTTATTTTAGTGGGAAAGCCCTCATACAAAAGTTACTATAAAAATATATGTTTCACGATGAACATAAATACTTAATATATTTACATAAACTTTAAATAGTATAATTACAAAACATATCAGAGCATTTGCGATTTAAACATTTGTAGTACATTTATGTTACATGCCAATAAAATTTCAAAATAACAAGAAACATCTATTGTTCAAATCGTTCTGATATGATATTCTTTAAAGTGTATGATGATCTTTCCTAGCTTTACTCTTCAGATCTCTTTGAACTTACGTATGAAAATACTTACACGCTAAGTCGTTAACTTAGTGAGGCATAAATGAGTATAATAAAACATTAAAAACACTTGCTTAAACATTTCAGAAAAAACATTGAGTACGGAAACCAACATACACTTCATAAAAATAACGTATATTGTTATACATTGTTCAATTCATATCAATTTGTTTTATTAGCCCAACACATATCACTGAGACCTCAAGGTATGTGAGTAATTTGAGGTTGTGCATTGTAATTGCAATTGAAACTGTCGTTTAGAATTTGCACCGAAGTGCGACATAGAATATACACCGAAGTGCCACATTGATTTGTCCCGAAGGATAACGTAGAATTGTCCCAAATGACCACATAGAATTGTTCCGAAGGATCGTGTAGAACCCTCGACTCTTGGCATGCCAATTATACCTCTAATTCTCATAGCACATACTTTAGACTTTAACATAAATATTTACATAGCCTTCTTCAAATTATCATTCATTCACATAGAACATATATACTTATAGTAACCAAGTCAAAACAATGGATATGAAATACAATTTAGGTAAAACAATAAAATTTAACATAAAATAATTAAAATAATTTTTGATCGAAAACCTTTGAGGTTGACTTATCGCAAGCTGTCCTCACATCAAATATAAAATAAGTAAGTTGCAATAACCTTTGCCTCACTTAAGTCCTAAGTAAAATCCTTTTTCACTTTCGCTTAATCTCTTTACTACTTCGAGTTGATCGATACTTGCTATTGATCGAATTCTACATAAGAACATAACCAAAATCAATACCAGATCTCAAATAATTGATAACCAATCGACATTTACTTAAACGAAATAAAACACCTAATTCAAAATTTTAAACTGAACAATATTGGTAGTCTACATAGTACCGATACTTCCCTTCTATGGTACCGATGCCCACCTCAGTATCGATACATGTTTTGCACTATGGAATTTCCTTTTCAATTATGATATCGATACCTTAATATCAGTATCGATACCCCCAATATCGATACTACCCCTTCAGTATCGATGATGTTTATCCGATTCATATAGTATATATATTGTTATTTCAATACTAATACCCTTACCCAGAATTCACTTATTTCATTTCAAATTTAGCCTAAAATTCACCTAAATCTCATACTTTTAAATTCATTCATACCCTTAAACTCAATAACATTTATCCCAACCAATTTACATCAAATAAATCCCCTTTAACATCTACAATTCTCCATAGAACATTTAAAACTAAATTTTACACCCATTCTTCAAACATGTTTCCAATCTTTTCTAATACTTCAAATACCTTATTCAAACCTTTGACAAGTCAAATATGCCTTTAAAATCAAATTACTAATCAAATTCATCAATTCCCTTAAAAACCCATTTTACCAAATTACCATTAATTCCTCAATCCCAAAGTTTCTAATCATCTTTAAGCTTTCTTAAGCTTCTATAACAACCCAAGATTAAAAACCAACTCAAAAATGAAAGGAACAACCAACTTCAAATCACTTACCTTAGCAATTGGGAGCTCACGGTGGAATGAAGAAGAGAAGAGGAAGAGAGAACTCTTAGGCTTTTCCTTATCTTTTCTATTTCATCACATGTTATATTAACATAAAATGAATTTTAGATTCATTTCATGCCAAAATACCATTTTCCCTTCCAATTCTTCCATCTTTGAATATATATCCTAAACAAAAATTTCCAAATCAATCCTTAAACATTTTAATTTATCAAAATCAAACCACTACTTTTAAAGCCTTACTATTTAGTCATTAACCCAATGTTTGGGGTATTACATTACAACTATTTAAAATACCTCGAAATTCTCTAACGTCAAAGAAAGCTTAGAAATATTCTCTATGGCTACATATGATTTTAGAATATTCAAAGATAAAATCTATTATTAAATAGCCTTTAAATCCTCCGACGTTTAGAAGGATATCGAAAGTCCATTTTATAACCCCTAAACCCAGTCTATACATTACGACTAGATATAGTGGATTATATTGAAATTTTCAAAACATCCTTTAATACTTTAAATTCATTATATTACCCAAATCAGTAATATAAACATAAAGTTTGAAGAGTATCGCAAAAATGTCGAATAACATAAGTAAACCAAATATCTAGTATCACATATATCACAAGCGTTAGTAGTAAAATAAAATACGTCATAAAACATGTAATTTAAAATAATGCAAGCACATGTCACCAAGTAAAGGTAGTCTAGAAGATAAAAATATTACAACAAAAAGTATTGTAAGTGATTTGTCGATCTTCTATATGCCAAGTCAGGGGTGCCTGTCCAAAAGTATCTAAAAGGTTGGGGAATGATCTAGGGAGGTCAGTGTGTTCCAATAGTGCAAATAGAACGTCATAGAAAAGTATTTAGAAAATAATTAATTAACGTTTCATAAAGTAACTGTTGGGTTTATATTTTAAAATCATAACTACCCACCTCTTGTACACCATAATGCAATCCCCAGACTGCATCCATAAGAACTTATCCTATACCCATTGGATATAGGGGTCAACCTAAAGGAGCATCTTGGGGCCTGAGAGCCTACCCAAGAAAGTTCTTGTGGCCTCAGAGCCTACCCAAGGGTCATCTTAGGTCCGTAAGGAATTACCAGCTTAATCAGAACTTAACCTCTTTACTCCAGAATCCTACCAAACAATATCTCAATAAAAAAATTCATATAGTAAGCAGTAAATTCCATGACCATAAATCGACATAATCATATTTCCCAGTGAAAATAAGTAACCAGATTACATATATCAAGCAGTCATATTACATAAATAGTAAACCGGTAAATCAGTAAATCATAATATCGAAAAGATTCAATATATTAGTAGTTTCGGTAAATCGCATATCAAAACAGATAAAATAATCATATAGCACATAGGGAACACACTTAGCAAAAAGGGGACAGTCAGTGAGTCTACTGAGCACCTGTCTCGTCATGCTCTGCAACAATGCTCGAACCTAATTCACAATGCAACAAAGTTACTATCGGAATAATATTTTAATTCGATTATTCTTAGGGTTTAAAAATAATACATGTAATCATTGGCTGACGGGGTCAAATGGATCGAGAGGAGTTGGGTTAAGCTGTCGAACGATCGGGAGAGTCACGAGTACCTTCAAATAATAACACACGAATTAATCATTGTCCATAATTTAAAATGCGCTTAAATAAAATACTTAAATACATATGCATTTTGGGTTTAATGGTCAATTCAAAGGCTTTTGAGTTCGAATTTGGCTAAAAAGACTTCGAATTTGGATTCAGTACGTCGAAAAGCATAAAATATGTTTTTTTGAAAAAATTGACTTTTTGGTCAAAGTCAAAGTAAACGCTGGTCAATGTCAAAGTCAACTCTAGTCAAAGTAAATGGTAAGGTCAACTGTAAGTCAAAGTCAATAGGTTGACTCAACTGAGTTGAATCGGTCGAGTCGGTTTGGACCGATTTGAATCGGTTTGGTCTGACCAGACCAGATCTATAGCTTCATTGGTTGGTCGAGAAGTCCCACGCGCACCGACAGTGCGTACGACGATGACAGGGGTTGTTGAGGTGATCCGATTACTCCAAAAGCATCCACATAGCCAAACAACACGAATTAAATCCAATACAAGCCACAATCACAATTAAAATGACCATAAAAGTGACTAATAACTCACCCATGGTGGTTGAACAGAGCAGCGACGGAGAGACGACGAACCCACCTGGGTTTTGATCGGAATCACCTATGAAATGCAAGGGTGAGGGCGGTGAGCTGAGACGACCACCGGATCCGACGGAAAACGAAGAAAATCGAGGCAAAGGCTTGTTTCTCTGGTGAAGCTTCATGTTGATTTCCACGATGAGTGGGTTGTCTTACGGCAGGATTGTGGTCATGTTTTAGTCGGAGCAAGACGACGATCACGATAGGGGTGGCAGTGCACTCAACGGCGGCTGTATGATGTCGAATCGATGGTGGAGAGGGCGGTGACAACTTAGGGATTTGGGGGATTTAATTTTGGGGAAAATGGGTTTGGTGTCTGATATGGGAGATGGTTTCTAGTTATTTTGACATGAGCCTAAACCACAAAATTTATTTTATTTATTTATAAATTTAATAATGGCCTAACATAATCAGTAGGAGTATGGCCTTCCTTACTTTGAATGTGGATTCAAACCATCACAACCACTAATTTTTTTCTAGTGATTAGAAAAATGAGAAAATTCAGGGTTGAGTCACTGAACTTCCTAATTTTCAAAACTAACCCAATTTTTTTTAAATATATCCATTATGGTCCCTTAATTAAATTAAGTATGCTTTAAATATTAAATTGGGGTGTGACACATTCAACTTGAAATAATACCTAGGTTTTAAACTATGCTTTAGTGTGTTGAAAACAATTTATCGGACTTTAAGTCTAAATACGAAAAATTCAAGCAATCAAAAGGTATTTAATTTGAGTATTAAACTTTCTAGCTAGGTCTCTAAACCCTAAATGACTATGATGGGGCGAATGAAAGTAAAAAAAAAGGACGGGACCGAAATATGATTAATTTGAAAGATTCTTATTTACTCAACATCTAAAGTAAGAAGGATTTTTTCGAATAATTATGATTATATACAATAATTAATTTTCAACTTATAAAGAAGGAAACTAATATTCGAAAGACTTCCATTTGCCCAACATCCAGAATAAACTGGGTTTTCCTTTAAAATATTAAGAAAAATTATAACAGAACATAATTATTAATATTTAATGTGACAAAAATAAAACCGAGAGATTTCGATTTGCTCAACATTTAGTACAAATAGAACCTCGAATTATTCTTACTTCATATTAAAAATGGAACGTAGGTATTTGTTTATTATTATGAAAATGAAATAAATTCAAAAGATTTTGATTTGTCTAACGTCTAAGACAATAAGATTCTTCTTGAATAATTTTTAAAATAATAAAAATAAGATTAGATATTTATTATAAAAGGTAAATGAAATTGAGGGAATTCAAAAATAAAAACATCTGAATAATTTTTTTAATTTAAAAAACGTAGTAATATTTAAAATATTTGACAATGGGTAAAACTAATAAACAAATAAAAACTAAATTAAAAGGGAAATACAATATATATAATATATTTACATATTAATATATTAAAAAATACATTAAAAGATATTAAAAGAAAATTGAAAAACCATCATATGTTATATTTTTATTGTAAAATATATTTTGTAACATATATAATAAAATTTACCTTAATTGCAGAATAAAACGTTAAATATTTATTTTAATAAAAAATTAAACATCTAACGTAAAATAATATATGATTTAAACAATTGTTTTTAAATTTTATCTAATATATTTATATAGTTCTCATATCCTATAATATCATTTATGGTCCTACTAATTAAAAAAAAATTATATGTCAAACCAAATCCAATCTAAACAAGAGCCACACACGTCTAATCCAAATAAGAGTCAGAGACGGTGCATACGTGCTTCTTCCGGTGCCACAACCATTACGTATGGTGATTTTATAATGTAAATAAAATAAACAATTAGTATATAGTGAAAAGGAATAAAATTCAGGGTAAAATACATAAATGGTCCCGTCTATATAGAATACTACATTATTGTGTTCCGATTATTAAAAATTACAAAATGATTATTCAATTATAGTGTATTAATTTGTTGAGTCTCTCAACTATTGAAAGTTACAAAAATGGTAACCCGACTATTCATTATGTTATAAGCTTGTCTTTTTTTCGCTAAAAAATTAATAGTCGTATGAGTTTGACGTTAATATATTGATTAAGATATGATAACTCTTTAAGATTATAAAATCATATTTTATTATATCTTAGACAGTAGGTTAACGTCTAGTTCAGATTGTAGTTAATTATAGGGTCCTCAAATTATAGTGTGTTACTTTGTTGAGTCCTTCGACTATTGAATGTTTCAAAATGGTCACCCGACTATTCATTATATTTTAAACTCATCATTTTTGTTAAAAATTAATGATCATCTGAGCTAGACTTTAACATGTTGACTGAAATATAATAGTCGTTTGAGATTTTGAGATCATATTTTATATCTCAGTCAGTAGGTTAACGTCCAGCTCAGATTGTTGTCAATTTTTAACGGAAAAGAATGAATTCGAAACATATGAATAATTGGATAACCATTTTGTAACTTTAATAGTCAATGGATCCCATGAAGCAACGCTATATAATCAATATATTATTTTATAATTTTTTATAATCAGGCGACTTAATAAAATAATATCTTATACGATCAGTTGTGTACTTTACCTACAAAGTTTTATTGGAAACTAATTTGATTCTTCTTCCTTATTCCTTTCTTGATCAGCTGCTGGTTTCACTATGGATACATCAGAAATCTGCAATGCGGAGGAAGATGAATTCCAGCAACTGGTGCAAACCGTCCCTAAAGTTAAAGATAAAACCTGTCTTGAATAGGGATGGTAAAAAAATTCGAACCCGACGGAGAAAATTGAATTAAACGGGAACGGAGAAAAACCGTTTATGCTAAACGGGGACGGAGACGGGAAAAACCGTTTATGCTAAACGGAGACGAATTTGGTAATCTCCGCCCCGATTACCCAATTACCCAGCCCGATAAATATTAAAAATAATTATTATATATATATATATATAAATATAATATTAATAAATTTAATTTAAATTAGAAAAATATATATAATATTTATATATTTAATTTAAATATATATATTTCCGGCCCGATACCCTTTTAAATAATTGTTTATGCTAAATGGAGATACTCGTTTTCTCGCGGTTTTCTCCGATTACCCGATGGGAATCCCCATTTAAATCCCCGTGATTTTTTAAACTGAGACGGGTATGAGTTTTTTAATCTGGGACGGGAACGAAACCAATACCCGGCCCGAACCCAGCCCGTTGCAATCCCTAGGCTTGGATTGAATCTTCATTGCTATCAAGGTTTTTGGCACGCACCTCTTGCGTTAAGAGGTATGATACCTTTCCAAATACAATTTCAAGCATTAGATACTGATATTATCGTCGCCAGTTTCCCAAAATGTGGCACTACTTGGCTCAAGGCCTTGACTTTCACCACCGTAAACCGCCACCAGTTCGCCATGGATGAAAACCCTTTGCTCACCTCTAACCCTCACCAGCTTGTTCGTTCCTTGGAGTATGATCTCTACATGAACAACCCTTTTCCTGATCTCGACAATAGCTCTCTTTATAATCCAAGGCTTTTCGCTACTCAAGTTCCTTATACTTCTTTGCCGACTTCCATTAAAGATTCTGACTGTAAGATTGTTTTCATATGTAGAAATCCCATGGATATGTTCATTTCTCTTTGGGTTTTTCGACACGAGCTACGGGACGAAAGCTTAGAGCCAGTATCAATAGATGAAGCATTTGACATGTTCTGCCATGGAGTCCTTGAGTTTGTACCATTTATTGATTATGTGTTAGGGTATTGGAAGGAAAGCCAAGAAAACCCAAATAAAATATTGTTTTTACAATATGAAGATCTTAAGGAAGATGTCAATTATCGTGTAAAAGAGTTGGTCATGTTCTTGGGGGTTCCTTTCACAGAGGAAGAAGAGAGACAAGGAGTGGTTGAAGAAAGAGCCAAGATTTGCAGCTTTGACAGCTTGAAAGAACTGGAAGTGAACAAGAAGGGCGTGCACACTTTTGGGGCACCAAATGAAACTTCCTCTAAGAAGGCAGAAACTTTTGTGGTTCCACACAGAGTTTTTTAGAAAAGCAAATGTGGGAGATTCATTTAACGTTTAAATTCTCCTGCAAAACCTCTTCACAGGATATTGCTTCTGCATGATAATGGAGTGTATGATGAGTATAACTATTTAGTCATGGGGTAGCTTTGTTTTGAGTAATTTCTGGCTTACTCCCAGTTATCTATTGCTTGTAATCTGTGGTTTTTCATTAGCAAAATAAATTGCTTTGAGATGTGTGTGGTGCGTTACACAGAATGCATATCTCCATGGTTTTTAATATATTCCGGTTCATCCAAAATAAAATAAAGAGGATTAATTCTCGACAAAGTCCAATGAGCGAGTGAGTGTGCAACGTGGTTTGCCCCTCTATCCACGAAATGAATTTTGATGGACGGTAATTTTTTAAGAACCACTCATACCTTGTTAAGCATCAATTCAATCACCGAAATATCTGATTGTAGATTCATAAGCTTCTTGAATCTCACTACCAATTCAAAGCTACAATCAAAGTTTAACCTGAGTTACGGGGAAAAGGTAGAGCAACTCCAACCACTTCACCAAATTATACCTTAAATTATAATAATAAATTATTAAAATATAATAATACGTAACATACGTTCTTATTTTAATGATCTATAATAAATATGTTTAAGTATTTTTTTATTTTGATAATATAATATATATATAATCTTATTTAACAATATTTATTATTTTCATAAAATCTTCCTCACCTAATTTATCGATATTTATGATGAATCGGACTTGTGGATGCTATTCTAATGATTCCAAAGCGAGAACCAAAACATCACCTAAAATAACCGCTATTAAAGTCAGTGGCCTTATTTTGGTTATATTACGATGATGTTGAGGTTTGGAGTTTTGTTGGAGTTTCTCGTTACCGATAATGAGCTTGGACATTAACGATGACGCTAATTGATGTTTTAACAGTTGGAGATGAAACTATAACAATTGGGTTCTAACCTGGCAAGGACATATTTGATGTTTTAGTAATAATTTAGGGATAAACCTAAATATTAATCTTTATATTAACATTGTCACATCATCAATTTAATAGGACGATGGTGGAGAGACTATTTTCTTACAAATCGATAATGTTAACGACCAGTTTTTTACATTTGAAACTTCAACGAGAACAATAAAAAATTACTTAAACATTAGTGACCATTGTTATAATTTACCTTTTTTTCCGGTCCTAAGTCCTTCAATTTAAATTTAAGTACTCATGATTCTTTCTAGATACGATAACAATTTTCCCTACAAGGATTTAGTCTACGCGACATTGCGACAATGGCTTCTCTATTACCACTTTTTGTATTATTTCTTTTTGTTGCCCTCTTGATTCTAGGGCTTCGTTTTGATTAATCTGGACCGACTCACGTCGCACCCCTGACTTTAATAGGTGAGTCTCCTACCGGGATTTTCTGCGTTCACAAGGTCTCGATCTCAAAACTTGCTTAAACGATATCAAGCTACTTACTATTTAAACCAACTCCCGTTAGTACAATTTTTTGTGCTTTAATAAATCATTTGTTCCATGATTATCTGGATAGATTGTAGTCATTTATCTGAAAGAAATTATGGTTTATAGTTCTTTGGAAGAGCACCAAGAATAGTTTCAGTTGGTGTTGGTTAGACTATATTAGACAATAGGTTGAGAACAGACTTTAATAAACCATTGTATTACTCGTTATTTGAATATACAGAGAATGCTCTTTTAAATAGTAAAACCTGCATCATAATCACGTGAATAGTCACGCTAATAAACCCTAACAAACTGCTGAGTCAGCAGCATCTTGCAACAATTTTGCTAACCGAACGTTTCTTTCAGCTCACGTCTTCATAGTCTAATATTGTCTCGACTTCTTCTTCCCTCGGCAATGTCATATGTGACAACCACCTTTGTACGAAACACACTAAACATTGTTTTAGGTAGGATTTGGTGAACCCATCTGCAGCTTGCTCTGTTGCAGGAACATAGTTAACCTGAAGGGAACCATTAGCAACTTTCTTCTCGAACAAAATGCACATCCAACTCGACATGCTTTGATGATGCATGAAATACTGGATTGGCACTAATATTAACGGCACTAGTGTGGTCACACCAAATAGTTGACTTAGCAGGAGAAGTGATTCCAAGGTCATGAAGAAGAGACTGCAACCATGTGACCTCCGATGTCGCACCAACAATACTACGATACTAAACCTCTTTAGTGGAGTGAGAGACTGATTTTTTTTCTTGGAGCTCCAGCTTATAACATTCTGACCTAGAAGAGCACAGTAGCCAATTGTCGAGCGACTATTGTCTGCACAGTTCGCCCAATCCGCATCAGCAAATGCTGCAATACAAAGAATCTCATGATATGAAGTGCCATTCAAATATCGAAGGATGCGTTTAACCGTCTGCCAATGTTCTTCACATGATTGTTGCATAAATTGAGCAACTCAATTGACACTAAAAGCAATGTCGGGCGAGTATGATTTAAGTAAAGGAGAGCTCTCACCACACTCTGGTAAATGCTAGGTTCATTAAGAGAACAGCCACTATCACAGGTGAGTTTAGGGGATGACATCATAGGTGTGGGGAAAAACTTGGCCTCTGACATATTTGTTTTAAGAAGAAGCTCCTTAATGTACTTCGTTTAACGAAGAAGCAACGAGTTGTTATCACAGTGAACCTCTAACCCCAAAAAATAACTCAACTCACCAAGGTCTTTAAGAGAGAATCGTTTCCCCAAAAGATGAACAATGCTATTAATGGTTGTTGTGGACTCCCCCGTTACTATGATATTGTCTACATAGACAAGGATGTAGACCAACCCCTCACTAGTGTTAGAAATAAACAACGAGGCATCTGTAGTAGAACCCTTGAACCCTTAATCAAGTAAAAATTGGCGAAGCTATGAATACCACATCCGAGGAGCTTGGCGCAAACTACACAAGGCTTTCTTAAGCTTGCAGACAAGTCGAGAACCATCAGGGGCAGTTTGTTCGAACCCAGGTGGTTAGGACATGAACACATTTTCACGTAATATGCCGTTTAAAAAAGCATTACTCACATCCACTTGCCTAAGACTCCACCTTTTAGTGACAGCCAAGGCAAGGATTAGATTTATAGTTGACAAGCGAACTACAAGACTGAAAGAATCATAAAAGTCCTAGCCTGGGACTTGATAAAATCCTCTCGTGACCAACCTGGCTTTAAATCGAGCAATTGCACCATAAGAACGTTTCTTAACACGAAACAACCTTTGCAACCAATAGGTGACCTTCCTTCAGGTAAAGTAGTTAGTTCCCAGGTTCTATTATTCATTAAGGCATTGTATTCATCTAGAACCATTTCTTTCCATCAAGGACATGTCATCGCCTGATCGATTGTGGTTGGTTCAACAACATCCACACTGGAAGGAAAACCAGAAGAGTCGTTAAACAACCGAGGTTTAAATATACCCATCTTGCAACGTAACTTCATGCATGGAACCCTCATCAGCAGAAGATTGTAACTCAGCAGGCTGCCCTTGTGACTCCAAAGGTTGTTGAGATTGCACCATGTCAACCGAGCTTGAAATAGAGTATTGAGCGAGAGCTGGATAATTAGTAGAAGAATGTGAATGCATGTCAGGGGTAGTGCACAGACGTTCAGCTACTGGGATTATGTGAAGAGAGGGCCTTGACTGTATAATTTGAGGGAAACCATATGACATAAGTGCATCATCTGTAAATGGAAAAATACATTCATAAAAAACAACACTTCAAGATATGAAAATGTGACCATTAGGAGCCAGACATTGGTAGCCACGATGTTGCATACAATAGCCAACGAACACACACGACTGAGAGCGAAAGGCCAACTTATACGGATGAAAAGGTCACGTGTAAGGGTAGAAACGACACCCAAACACCCGCAGATGCTCAAGAGTAGGGGATTTACCATACAGAAGCTGAAATGGTGACTTGTGATCAAGAACCTTTGTGGGCAGGCTATTAACAACGTGGATAGCAGTCACAACAACAAAGGACCAAAACTTAAACGGCATAGAAGTATGAGCAAGCAAAGTCAACACAACCTCAAGGACATGTCTATGCTTGCGTTCGAAAATGTCATTCTGTTGAGAGGCATGAGGGTAAGTAACACGGTGTTGGATTCTATTCTTCAGCAACATTGGGGACAGACTACGGTACTCACCACCCAATCGCTTTGAAGGGCTTTCAGAACAACTCCAAACTGAGTTTGAATCATTTTATGGAACAATTGAAAAGTAGACACAACCTGATCTTTAGACTTGATAAGGTAAAGCCAAGTATGGCGTGTGTGAATGTCCAAAAAATACACATAATAGCGATAGCCATTCAAGGTGACGTGAGAAGGGCCCCAAAGATCAGTAAAAAGGAGCTCAAATGGTTTAGAGTATGATGTATTAGATGCAACAAATGGTAGCTGATAGCTTTTCCTCAATTGAAACGATTGACAAACACTCAACCTTATATTTATCATCTAAGTTACTCAATATTACAACTTTTGCAAGCATGAATTAACACGTCATGAGTAGGATGCCCACGGCAATCAGGCCATAACTCATAAATGATTGGAGTATACTAGCCAAGCACAATGCAGGATGAAAAACACATTTCAACAAAGTCCCGAGATCAAACATATACAACTCATCCACTTCTCTGCCTTACAGCAACATCTCTCTTGTCCTTTCATCATGAACCACACAATTCCAAGCATGAAACTCTAAGAAGACACCGTTGTCGCTAACAAGCTTTGACAAGAAAATTAAGTTCTTAGTAATATGAGGAACAAGTAACATATTGTTCAAGTTCAAAGTGCATGAAGTAGTAAATAAAGATGAATGACCAACGCTATCAATAGGCAAACCTCTCCCATTACCAATAATGAGTTTACCAGAACCAGAGTACTCAACACGATCATTAACATTCAAAAGGTCAGTCGTGACGTGATGAGTAGCACCAGAGTTCACAAACCACTGTCCTTGGTCACCTAGCACACCATCCGATTATGACTTAGCCATAGGGAACCCAACAACACGAGCTTGAGCATGAGAGCCACAACCATACTCATGAGACATAGCGTTTGCACTAAAATTTTCACAAGATGTAGTAGGAGCATCATATCTCAGGTTAGAAGACACCCATCGAAAAGTTTTATCAAAATTGTACCAACAACGGTTAAATAGATAGCTGTGACAAAAATTGTGACAAAAAAATAAGAAAACAAACAAGTAAAATTAACAAAAAAAAATTGTGACAAAAAATTTTTTGCTATGACAAAACTTATCAAAATTTCTCCAATTGCCAATCCCCGACAACGGGGCCAAAAACTTAATCGCGTGTAAATATATGTGTTGTGGCACGTAAATTTGTGCAAATATATACAATCGATGCAAGTAATATAGTAGTAAGTGAGTTATCGTCTCCACAGGGATTGGGGGGAAATCTTTGAAGTTTGCTACAGCTAGAATTAGGTGTCACCAACTAATCTTAAGTTTATTGTCTAATGGTATTCACAAAGAAAAAATAAGTCGTGGCAAATGGTATGAACATATGGAAAAATATGTATAGACAAAAAAAAATGTGAAGTGAGCAGTAAAGTTTTGTCGTGACAAGAAAAATATGTAATAGTTAACAAATAAAATTTGCTAAGGTTGTCATACCCCAATTTAGGGGTCAAATTATAAGTTTCTGAAACTTAAAGACAACTTTAGAAAGTGTAAGAAATTCAGGGACCCAGTCTTGAATTTACCCATTTTTATTGGATAAAGAAAAATAAACCTGGTTAATTCTGCCCCCCAAAATTCCCAAATTGGAAACAAAATTCCCAACCTTGAACCCTAGCCCGTCGGCCTCTTTGTCACCGATTCTTCACTGTCCGACCATCATTTTTGGCACCACCACCCCCGCTCAGTCCGTCTTCAACCGGAGACCAATACCCTCCATCTTTTTGCCATGAAACGACGTATATCGTCGTGAATTTAGTCGCAAAGCTTTGACGAGTAACCTAACCCCGATCGCCTCAGTTTTATACCGATTCCGACCAAACCATCGGTTGTAGTGTCTCACCGCCACCAACATCGTATTCCCCAGTCAATTCCAATCAAAACCCGACCGAGGTTGCCGTTCACCACCGTCGTTTTTGCCGACCGCCAGTGTGGGTAAATGTTTCAGACCTCTTCTTTTAATTCCGATAGATTTTGGCAGATTGTTGATGTTGTTGGATCGATTTTGTCAAGTACATTAATAGGGAGTAATCGTCCGAAAAACCAAACTTTTGTCGTCGCCGCACATGCCACCACACATCGGCAGTGCGCGTAGGTTTCTTCCCTTGCCCTAGAAGCTTTTGGACTGGCCCGAACAGGTCAACCCGACCCATCTTCCTGACCTGCCTGATCTGACCCGACCTGACCCACCTGGTCCGGTCCAGTCACTGAGTCAACTTGTTAACTTTGACCAAGTCAACCCATTGACCATTGAATTTTACCGATCAGACCGTTGACTTTGACCGAAAAAGTCAAATTTTTTGAAAAGCCATATTTTATGTTTTTCGACGTCTTAAGTTCGAATCTGAAGTCTGTTTTGCCAAATTCGCACTCGGTAAGATGTTTTTCAATGTTTTATCTTTGGATTCAAGTTGGTTTCTGATTTAAGTTCAGTTTTTTACGTAAATTCATGTGCAATGTATCCAAGGAATTATTGGAAGTTGAATTCAAGTTCGAGGACAATCGAATGGAGTTTAAATGGTCGATCGATATGGCATGAAAACCGAGGTAATACTTTTCTACCTTTTGTATGCTTTTCAAGACTCACTGATAAATGGTAAATGCATGAATGGAAATAATTGGACCATTAGGGTAGTTAACTATCTTTGGACTCAGACGAAAATTGGATTAAAAAACAAAACAATGTATACGACTCTAACAGCTCGAAAAAGAAATTGGTAGACTGGTCGGAAATAAATCTCAGTTCAATGATTTAATTAGTAAATCAATCAGTCTCAGAAAGCGTAAATTCTTATTAATCATGTTAAATATTAAATGTGGTAAATATTTGGATAAGAAATTACCAAAAAGAGCACTATAGGGTAAAATTACAAAATGCCCTTGTACCATAAAAGACCAAGAATTCCCCGGATGGTGAAAGATAACTCTGAAAAGACATACATGTCTAATTATCAGAAAAACTGCATATGATTGAATTAAAAGTAATTACTGAAATATCCTCGAACTTCGTGATAACTATAATAACCTCCATTGATCAAAGGAACTATAATACTTGAAGCATAATATATCATAAGTAATGTCACTGACAGATTTGAATGAAATGTCGATGATACACTTAAAGTGTAAAAAGCACAATAGATGGCTATAATAATGTAGATGACCTGAGAACTTATATCTTGATCCACTTAAACCTTGGAATCATCGATTTAAATTCCGGAATTATATTGGAATTACCTTAAGTGTAAAATGACCCAAAAAACGTCTAAGCACTGGAATAACTAAATACCCTCAGCTCTGAAATGAATAAATCAACCTCGAATACCAATATGACTATATTATATGACCAAGTTAAATGGAATAGAAGTAATGTATATATTCAAATTTCAAAAACGATATAATTACTCTGGAAACTCCAAAGTGATCGGGATAGACTTGACTACTAAATGAACTAAGTAACCTCAATGACTGAGGATTAAGTACATGATTTGTGTAAGTTAGGAAATGCTGATAAAATTACATGATGTATAATCCCTAAGGGTTATGAACCCCGGATCAAGCACATCGACATTACCTGATATCGTTGCAATGTAGAAATGAAATAAAGACCATTGGAATATATGTTCGTCTCCCTAAGACATTCATCAATGATTCTGAAGATGATCTATGGACAAGAGTTATTGGTATTTAAGAGTGAATACCCTGGAAGTGCAATGAATTGATTGGTTGACATCCATTAGTTTGAGTTAACATGATATTCTGATAGATCGACATAAATCTTAAATGCTTGAATCTTCGTTTCTCCCTTATCAGCTCGAATCACTAAGAATTCTCCAAGAACCTAATGCCCAAAATGTCTCTGATTTCCTGAATAATGGAATCACTCATGTTATATATGGAAACACAAGTAACTCAGATGCAACGGATTCTAAATACCTTTTTGATTTCAAAGTGCCTCTAAAAAATATTCAAATACTATATGATCCTGATAAACTGCGTTCTGAATAACTGATGATTTTCCAGCTAATGAACTTTCTCGATAATGATTCTATTTTTTTGGCATTCTATCGGTGTACTGAATTTTCGTGTTTCCCTTTCTGATAAGATTATCAAGTACCTCTGAATAATATCTGGAACCTCTAGTGTGTTCTCTGATCATACGGATGTTTTCTCTAATTTTAAAAGTATGTCTCTGTTATCTGAAATACAATTTTACCTCTGATTTCTGCTCTGAACTTTGATATATGTTTTGATCTTTAATTTCTGTTATGATCTCTGATCTCTACTCTGATTTGTGATATCTCCATTTACGAAATGAAATTATTTTTATACGAGGTACTCTGGGACTCTGGTATGACTGAAGACACTGGCAGGTTTAGTCACTGCTGGTAATTCATTATATAAGTTCAACACGACTGGTAATTCCTTATGGACCTAAGGCGACTCTTGGGTGGGCTCCTGGGCCTAATGGGCCTAGTGGTAAGACCTTATGGACCCTAAGGCACTCCCTTAGGGATGACACCACTGCTATGTGTGTTTGGGTAAGACCTTATGGACCTGAGGGCACTCCCTTAAGGTGGGCACCTACGTTTCAGCTAGGGTAAAACTTTATGGACCCAAGGTGCTCCCTTATGTTGGCACCTACGCCCTTTGGGCCTAGGGTAAGTCCTTATGGATGTAGTTTTGGGGAACTGCATATTGGCGTTCGGTTGGAGGGTTCTAATATGGTTTTAAAAATATGTTTTAAATTGTCACTATTTAAAAAAATTGTACCTTTTTACTGGTTTTTGGTGGGAACACACTAGACACATTATTCTGATCTCCTTAACACAGTCATCCGAAACATTTTCTCTGAACTGGAAGCTTACTTTAATTTTCTATCTGAGATATCAGTGGGACCTCAGCTCAGCATAAAATTCTATAGATGTCTGAATCAATAAGGAAACATATGTTTATCTATTATCTGCATGTTCTTCAGCATCATCTGGTAGTACTGTATTACTGAGCTTTCCAAAGCTTACTCTGTTACTCACCTTTTCAGGTTAACAAGATTGAACCAGTGCAACTATCGACATCAGTAACAGAAACCTACCGGCTTTACATAAGGAGTACGATACATGCGATTAAGGGACATGTAGCTTGTATTTCATTTTTATATCCGAGTCTGGAATCTTTTTTATTTCTGAATATTGTTAAATTTTACTTTTGTGTTTATAATGTTTTTTTATGATTTTACATGTTTTAACAAAAATTTAAATTTCTGGGATTTTTACGATGGGTCGCTTCGGTGGCCCTAATGTGACACCTCGGATCGAATTGGGTCACCCGTATCGGTATGTGGGTATTACATAATGACATAAATATCATGCTTGATGGTCTTCATTGTTATGAAATGGAGAAGCTGGATGGACTAGTTTTATTGCTACGAGGTCAAACACATATATGGAAGACTAATGTGACGATGAGAGCATCTATGGATCAAGTGACGTGGTTGTTCTTTCTGGACGAGATCAAGAACAAATATATCGGTGATTAGTTCATTAGACAAATAAAGCAGGAGTTCATGAATTTGAAGCAAGGGAATCACATTGTGTATGAGTATGAGTATGAGTATGAGTATGAGTATGAGTATGAGTATGGTATGGGTATGGGTATGGGTATGGGTATGGGTATGGGTATGGGTATGGGTATGGGTATGGGTATGGGTATGGGTATGGGTATGGGTATGGGTATGGGTATGGGTATGGGTATGGGTATGGGTATGGGTATGGGTATGGGTATGGGTATGGGTATGGGTATGGGTATGGGTATGGGTATGGGTATGGGTATGGGTATGGGTATGGGTATGGGTATGGGTATGGGTATGGGTGGGTATGGGTATGGGTATGGGTATGGGTATGGGTATGGGTATGGGTATGGGTATGGGTATGGGTATGGGTATGGGTATGGGTATGGGTATGGGTATGGGTATGGGTATGGGTATGGGTATGGGTATGGGTATGGGTATGGGTATGGGTATGGGTATGGGTATGAGTTGAGGTTGAGTATGAGTATGAGTATGAGTATGAGTATGAGTATGAGTATGAGTATGAGTATGAGTATGAGTATGAGTATGGTATGGTATGGGTATGGGTATGGGTATGGGTATGGGTATGGGTATGGGTATGGGTATGGGTATGGGTATGGGTATGGGTATGGGTATGGGTATGGGTATGGGTATGGGTATGGGTATGGGTATGGGTATGGGTATGGGTATGGGTATGGGTATGGGTATGGGTATGGGGGTATGGGTATGGGTATGGGTATGGGTATGGGTATGGGTATGGGTATGGGTATGGGTATGGGTATGGGTATGGGTATGGGTATGGGTATGGGTATGGGTATGGGTATGGGTATGGGTATGGGTATGGGTATGAGTATGAGTATGAGTATGAGTATGAGTATGAGTATGAGTATGAGTATGAGTATGAGTATGAGTATGAGTATGAGTATGAGTATGAGTATGAGTATGAGTATGAGTATGAGTATGAGTATGAGTATGAGTATGAGTATGAGTATGAGTAGGAGTATGAGTATGAGTACGAGTATGAGTACGAGTATGAGTATGAGTACGAGTATGAGTATGAGTATGAGTATGAGTATGAGTATGAGTATGAGTATGAGTACGAGTACGAGTACGAGTACGAGTATGAGTATGAGTACGAGTATGAGTATGAGTATGAGTATGAGTATGAGTATGAGTACGAGTACGAGTACGAGTACGAGTACGAGTATGAGTATGAGTACGAGTATGAGTATGAGTATGAGTATGAGTATGAGTATGAGTATGAGTATGAGTATGAGTATGAGTATGAGTATGAGTATGAGTATGAGTATGAGTATGAGTATGAGTATGAGTATGAGTATGAGTATGAGTATGAGTATGAGTATGAGTATGAGTATGAGTATGAGTATGAGTATGAGTATGAGTATGAGTATGAGTATGAGTATGAGTATGAGTATGAGTATGAGTATGAGTATGAGTATGAGTATGAGTATGAGTATCAGTATGAGTATCAGTATGAGTATCAGTATGAGTATCAGTAGAGTATCAGTATGAGTATGAGTATGAGTGAGAGTTTAATAAATTGATTAGATTTTCAGCTGAATTGGTCCCGACTGAGAAAGATTCATGTGATTGGTTCATAGAAGGTTTACGCCCTAGACTGAATGAGTTACTGATAGCACTGAATCTTTCTACATTTCAAGAGGTAGTGAATCGAGCTAAATCCTTGGAGCGAGCACAAAATGAAATATTTGGGGAGAAAAATATCCAGTTGAGTAAGAGATCAGGTGCCTCGTCGAGTGCATCACAATCGTAGAAAATTCAAGTTTCAGGTTTTCGACCTTAATCTAGATCTGAGTCAGCTGCATCCTCAGACAGAGGATCAAATCCTATGAGAGCTAAGCAAACTCAATCAACTGAATCAGGAGCTGGAAGGCCAATTCAATGTCAACATTGTGGAAAACATCATAGTGGTGTATGTCCAGTGGTCTCCGGAGCATGTTTTAGATGTGGGGACACTAGACATTTTATTTGGGATTGCCCGTTAATGACCGGAGAGCATGCACAATCAGAGAGATTTGATACTATTTTTCAGAGAGGTAGATGACGAGGAGGGGAATGAATCAGTATGAATTGGCCACTCAACCTGAAATGTGTGCGACTACTCGAGTATACAACCTTAAGACTAATGAAGATCGTGATGATCCAGAGATCATTGTATGTACTTTACAATTAATCAATAAACTTGTTTTGGTATTGATTGACATGGGATCAACTTATTTCTATATATGTAGTAAACTAGTGAGAGATTTCATAATCTAGTTAGAAGCTATAATTAATGATGTGATTGTGACTAACTCGCTAGGCCATAGTGCTCGGGTAAACCAGGATTTTCGAGGGTGTACTATAAGGATTCAGGGAATTGAATTCCCTGCTAATATAATGGAATTACCCTTTGACGAGTTTAAGGTCATATTGGGAATGGATTGGTTGTATCGTTACCATGCTAATGTTGGCTATCGATTAAAGCGGGTAGTTTTGAGAAGTTCTGATGGATCAGAGGTAATTGTGGTCAGTGATATAATTAATTCATTATCTAATGTGATATCGGTAATGCCGGCTAATAAGATAATGCTGTAAGGATGTCAAGCTTTCATCGCCAATATGATTGATACTCGAGCCACGAAGATGAGATTGGAGGATATTTCGACGGTCCGAGAATTTCTAGACGTGATCCCATATAAGTTACCGAGATTACCTCCAGTTAGAGAGGTTGAATTTCAAATTGAGGTAATGCCTGGAACGACACCAATTTTGATAGCTCCTTATAGAATGGCCCCGAAAAAATTGAAGAAGTTAAAGGCTCAGTTACAATAGCTATTAGAGAAAGGATTCATCAGACCTAGTGTATCACCTTGGGGTGCACCAGTGATATTTGTAAAAAAGAAAGATGGTTTTATGCGTCTATATATTTATTATCGGCAACTCAACAAGGTGACAATAAAGAATAAGTATCATCTCCCAAGAATCAACAATTTATTTGATCAACTCAAAGGAGCTTCGGTGTTCTCCGAAATTGATTTGCGCTCTGGCTATCACCAGCTGGAGATACAAGAAGATGATATTCCAAAAATGAATTTTAGGATCGGGTATGGCCATTATGAGTTCGTAGTAATGTCGTTTTGGATTAACTAATGCACCAGCAGTATTTATGGATCTTATAAATAGGGTATTTCAATCGTACCTCAATCAGTTCATTTTCGTCTTCATTGATGATATATTGGTTTATTCAAAGATGAATGAAGAACATGACACCCATCTTCCAGTGATTCTTCAAACAATTTGAGATAAGAAGTTTTATGCTAAATTGTCTAAATGTGAATTTTGGTTACCTGAAGTGGCATTCTTTGGACATATAGTATCTGCAGAAGGGATTCGAGTGGATCCTCAGAAAGTTAAAGCTATTATAGATTGAGAAGTTCCAAGAAATGTTTCTGAAGTATGGAGTTTCTTGGGATTAGCTGGATATTATAGAATATTTGTAAGGGACTTTTCGATGATTGTCTCCTCATTGACAAAACTGTTAAGGATAGATGTGTCATTCATTTGGACGAATAAATGCCAAGAGATCTTTGAATCTTTAAAGAAGGTTCTAATAGAGGCTTCAGTGCTAGTACAACCAGAATCGGGCAAAGTTTATACAATTTATACTGATGCTTCCCTATAATGGTCTAGGATGTGTTTTGATGCAAGATGGAAAGGTAATAGCCTATGCTTCGAGATAACTTAAGCCACATGAAATGAATTAACCGACACATGATCTTGAGTTAACAGCAATAGTGTTTGCACTGAAGATATGGCGCCACTATTATATGGTGAGCGATGTTATATTTACACTTATCACAAAAGTTTAAAGTATTTGCTAACTCAAAAGGAGCTAAACTTGATACAAAGGAGATGGATCGAGTTACTTAAAGACTATGATGCAATAATATAGTATTACCCAGGAAAGGTTAATGTTGTAGTTGATGCACTTAGCAGAAAGACTTTGTAGCTTTACGCATGTTAGATGCCCAATTTTCTTTAAATGATAGTGGTGCTCTAGTGGCTACTTTAAGCTAAAGCCTTTATTGTTGGAGCGAATAAAGGACTTGTAAAAGAGAGATGATAAGTGTTTGGCAAGAATAGAATAAGTGGAAAAATATGAAATCAAGGATTTTGAAGTAAAGTCTGATGGATGTTTGTACTACAGAGATGAGTTTGTTTTCCAAATGATGAAGATTTGAAGAAAAATATACTTTATGAAGCGCATTGTAGCCCGTTTACTATGCATCTAGGAGGGAACAAGATGTATCAAGATTTAAAAGGGAGATACTGATGGCCATGTATAAAAAGAGCTATTGCAAAGTTTGTTGCAAAGTGTTTAACCTGTCAATAAGTAAAAGCTGAACATCAGGTACCTTAAGGAATTTTACAACCGATCTACATACCTCAATGGAAATGGGAAAGAATTTCAATGGATTTCATAACGGGGCTACCATTAACATCAAATAAAAAAAAAATTCAATTTAGGTAATTGTTGATATGTTAACGAAGACATTGCAATTCATTACTATTCAGACTGATTATTCAATGAATAAATATGTTGAATTATACATCAAATAGATAGTTCAACTACATGGAGTACTGGTTTCAATAATATCTGACATATATCCAAGGTTCACTTTGAGGTTTTGGAAGTTTTTACATAGAGCCTTGGGTACCCGATTGAACTTTAGAACAACTTTTCATCTGATCGGACTATTCAAGTTTTAGGAGATATGCTAAGGGCATGTGTAATAGAATTCAATGGATTTTGGGAAAAGTATTTGTCTTTGGCAGTATTTTCTTATAATAATAGTTATCAATCGAGTATCAAGACGGCGCCCTATGAAGATTTATATGAAAGAAAGTGTCGAACACCATTAAATTGGTTTAAAATTAAATATCGATACATAGTGGGGTCATATTTGATCAAAGAAGTCGAAGAGAAAATGAAGATTATTCAAGATAACCTTAAGATAGTCGTTGATCGACAGAAGTCTTACTTAGACTTGAAGAGAAAGGAAATTGAATACCAAGTATGTTATAAAGTATTTCTCAAAGTATCGCCCAAGAAGAAGATTCTCCGTTTTGGACGCAAAGGTAAACTAAGTCCACGATTCATTGGGCCCTATGAGATCTTAAAAAGAGTTAGACCAATAGCATATCAGTTAGCATTACCACCAGAAATGGAGAAGATCCACGATGATTTTCATGTTTCTATGCTTAGAAGATATCGATCAGATCATTCTCACATCATGGCACAGGAAGAGATAGGAGTCCAATCTGATCTGACCTATGAGGAAGAACCAATGCATATTTTAGCACATGAAGTCAAACAACTAAGGAACAAGACGATTCTATTAGTTAAAGTTCATTAAAAAAATCACAAAGTGGAAGAGACGACATAAGAGCGTGAAGATGTCATGAGAAGACAATTTCCTCATCTCTTTGTGCAGTAAAAATTCGAGGACGAATTTTCTTAAGGGGGAGAATTGTAATACCCCAAACATCAGGTTAGTGACTAAAGAGTAAGGATTTAAAATTAGTGGTTTGATTTTGATAAATTAAAATGTTCAAGGATTGATTTGGAAATTTTTTTAGGATATCTAATCAAAGATGTAAGAATTGAAGGGAAAATGTTATTTTGGCATGAAATGGATTTAAAATTCATTTTATTTTAATATAACATGTGATGAAATAGAAAAGGTAAGGAAAAGCCTAGAGAGTTATATCTTCCTCTTATCTTCTTCATTCCACCGTGAGCTCCCAATTGCTAAGGTAAGAGATTTGAAGTTGGTTGTTCATTTTATTTTTGAGTTTGTTTTGAATCTTGGGTTGGTATAGAATCTTAAGAAAGCTTAAAGATGATTAGAAACTTTGGGATTGAAGAATTAATGGTAATTTGGTAAAATGGGTTTTTAAGGGCATTGATGAAATTTGATTAGTAATTTGATTTTAAAGGCATATTTGACTTATCAAAGGTTTGAATAAGGTATTTGAAGTATTAGAAAGGATTGGAAACATGTTTGAAGAATGGGTGTAAAATTTAGTTTTAAATGTTCTATGGAGAATTGATGTTAAAGGGGATTTATTTGATGTAAATTGGTTGGGATAAGTGTTATTGAGTTTAAGCGTATGAATGGAGTTAAAAATATGAGATTTAGGTGAAGTTTGGGCTAAATTTGAAATGAAATAAGTGAATTATGGGTAAGAGTATCGATACTGGAAGAACAATATCGATACTATATGAATCGGATGAACAACATCAGTACTAAAGGGGTAGTATCGATATTGGGGTATCGATACTAATAGTAAGGTATCGATACCATAATTGAAAAGGAAATTCCATAATGCAAAATAAGTATCGATACTGAGGTGGGTATCGGTACCATAGAAGGTAAGTATCGGTACTGGGTGTAGAGTACCGATACTGTTCAGTTTAAAATTTTGAATTAGG